TACCAAACCTTCCCATCATCCCTACTTAATTCTTCCTTTGGGATTGGTTCTGCATAACCTTTCTCTATGAGATCCTTCATAAATTTGACATAATCTTCATAGTAATCTTTCTTTTGCCTAAACTTTCTTTTAAGATTCATTAACCTGTGCAAAATTACATCTCTATTATTTGGGAACTTGAAATCTATATTCTTTAAAGGCAGAGGCATTTCATAATGACCTCTTTCAACCTGATGAATACCTTCTCTCATTCTTTTTATAAACATTTTATCATCTTGAGAAATAGGACAATCATCATTTACTTCATTAAAATCAATCTCAAACATCTTTTTTACTTGCTCAGGATTAATAATCTCTTTGACCTTTGTAGGCACTGTGAAAAGACAACATTTCTTCTCATGATTAATTATTACTTCTTGCATCATTGTTCTGTGCACTGAGACTACATCTACTTCCTTTGAATCAACACCTCTGACTTTACCTACAATGCCCCAACCAAGATCAGTTCGTTTTGCATAGGGATCATTGTCATTGCCAGTAATGATTTCCTTTGGCTTAATTGCCTTAATACAATTGAGACCAATCAGGAGTCCTACTTCTACATCATCACTGTAAGGCATCAGTTTCTCTACTATTCTTTCCAAATGTGGCCAACCTCTGGCAGTTTCAGGTCTTGGTATTTGATCTCGTCTGCAAGGAATTACTTGTCTAGAATAAGTATGAGGCAATGGTATATCTCTATTTTCATACACACCCTTTACAATTAAACCACAAGTTTTAGAGCATGTAACAGTTTGTTCACCATTCATAGTAGCTAATCTTAGATGAACCTTTATTCCACCAATGCCTAACTTACCTAGAGCACTGTTTTTAATAAAACATACATCAGACTGATCATCAAGTAATGCATACACCAAGACTTTTTTCTGCTCGTCACTTTTATGGTGCAACCACACAGGAACTATCATTGAGTTAACATCCATAGCAATAGACTTGTTAACTTTAATTGTATTAGAAACATTTGCCTCTTTGTCTTGTTCCTTAACTTGAACTTTATTTTCAGACTCCCATCTGTCCTTTTGTACTAGTGCTTCATCATGGAGAGAAGTAGGATGTAATTTATTACAAGTTTTACATTTACTCCTTTGACGACAAAATCTTAATATGTGTCCTCTTTTTAGACAACCTCTACATAATTTGTTTTTATTAACAAAATTCCTTTTGTCTTTCAAATCCAAATTTGAAAACTTATTACAATTATTAAGATTATGTAGCTGACTGCAAAATGGGCAAGCAAATCTACTGTTGTTACTTATTTTATCATTGACTTCATTGGTTTCTGTGACAAAGCTCTTCACTAACCTTGACTTTTGTTTTTGAGCATTTACTGTTATATTACCTCTAACACCTTTATCTTGAACTGCAGTGATTGAAGTAATTGGGTTGCATGCCTTTGAAGCTTCTTTTCTTACAAATGTACAAAATTTTGTGAAAGAGGGAAATTATGCTGAATATAATAAGCCATCATCACTTTCATCATCAAGTTCACTGGCTTTATATAGCTCTCTATCTACAATTGTATTCCATCTTTCAACTATAGGATGTGGCAATTTTTGTAACATTCTCTGATTCTCTTTGGGATCATTTAATATATTCAAATACTGAATATTACTCATTGCTGTCTTGCATGTCTCCAAGAAATCAGAAAATTTCATCAAAGCTGGTCCGTCATTCAGAGGAATCCTTGGCCACTCATGTAATTTCTCTCTATATGCATTAGCAATTACAAAGGCATTACCAAATCTTTGTTTTAAAAGCTTTCTAGCTTTACTGTAAGCTTCAGTACTATCTAATAACAAAAGTCCACTTATAACTTCTTTTGCTTCTCCATCTGTATATTTGCTTAAATAATACATTCTTTCAGCTGCTACTTTAGTTTTTGACTCAATTAAAGTATCAAATGACTTAACCCACATTGAATACTGAAGTATATCACCTTTGAAGACTTCTGGTTCAGGCCTAGGAAGTGAATCACTAATTTGCCTAGCACAAAGAATTTCAGCTAATTGTTGGATAGCATTCTTTTCTTCTGTTCTCCCTGAACAAGAACTTTCATCTGTTTGATTAACCAATACTTCATCCTTTGGAAAAAATGAATTAGCTTTAGGATTCAGATTACCCACATATTCATCGTCAAGGTTTAGTCTCTCTCTTAGATCTTCATTTGATTTAACTTTACTCTCAGATACAATATACTTATGGTGTGGCAATGTTTTCAAATGGGACTCCACATACCTTCTTGTATAATCTTGCTTACTCTCAACCCCTGATTCTTCTAATTTTACATTCTGAATTTCATTTTTGACTTCCAACATTTCTAGGTCTAACTTTGCTAACTTCTCAATTAATTCTTTCTGACCTTTTGATGAAGAAATACTTGAACGCCTAGAATGTCCACTACTCCTAATACTACCTGCAACTTGTACAAATTGTTTTGATCTTTCTCTGATATCAAATATAAGCCTTTGTGTGTCTTCCTCACATTTAATATATTGATCTGTAAATTTATTAGAAGGCTCCAGAGCTTCATATCTATCATATGCATTCTGTACAGCTTCAAACTTGGTTACTAGTGAAATCCTAGCTTCCTTGATTTGCTTAAATTCTAGATCATCTAATCTATTATTTATCTCAATGTAAACTCTCTTCCAAGCAGTTTTTGCACTCAAAAAATTTGTCTTACAGACATCAACTTCATATTCATAACCTTTTTGAGTCTTAGTTCTAGATCTTACACTAGATGCATCATCCTGAATAACATTCTCATGCAATTCTAACCCTTCAGGGTTTTCAACTTCAACAGTGTGACTCATAGTGAATACAGTGACTAAACAAAACAGCAATGATAAAAATACCTGTACTGCAACAGACACCAGTTAACCCACGAAAACAATAACTTGTCTGCAATTACCTTATTTTAAACTACAGATCAATAGTGGGAACGTAAATAACCTTCTGGTGAATACCTGTTGTCCTCTTGCTGTGCTTGTCACTTCTTGTCCCTGTTGTTCTTGGAATGTTGTCGGTGGATGAACTAGTTAAGATCACACTTGACTGCTGTGGAGAATCAACTGCTCTACTGGCGCTGCAGCAAATAACAACTGTACTTGATAGAAGCTGTAGGCTTGTGATGCGTAGTACTGCCTTCTTTGGATGACACCTTTGTTTTCATACTTCTTGGATGAAATCTCGACATAGCTTGTAATATCCTGTTGCACTGTTGAGGTTTACTAGCTGGAGTTCTGCTTTCATGGTGTTTTACTTGGGTAGATATTACTGTCGTGGAGTAGGGCTCGAGTTTTACTTAGGGTGGAGTTTTACTTAGGGTGGAGTTTTACTTAGGGTGGAGTTTTACTGTCGCTGCGGCCTCGCCCTTTTTACTTTGGAGTTGGTTTACTGAATGAATACATCTATGGATTCTAGAGAAAAACCATGGTTGTTGTTGCTTCCTTTATTCTCCATAACTGATGAATACAGTTTCTACATCTTCCATATCCGTAATCATACGTAAAACTGAAAACAAAACAATTTGGACGTAACAACTGTGGCCACGTGGTCTTATATACTATTAAATTCGTAATAGTTCACACAATTAACACAATTAAAGCACATTATTGAATGCTAACAAACTTAAACATAAAATCATAATAATTTGATGGATAAACTAGTACAAAGAATATAATTTACCTCCAAACCCCTACAATAGGGCCTGGTGCTGTTTAGGCGACCACAGCTGCCGTTGAAGTAAACAACCGAGTTCCAATACCCGTCTACGTATGCGACTTTGGCACATAGTCTTTTAAAACATTTTTATTCATCTTTACTTTCTTAACTGGGCTGCTACACTTACATATATATATGTGTGTGTGTGTGTGTGTGTGTGTGTGTGTGTGTGTGTGTGTGTGTGTGTGTGTGTGTGTGTGTGTGTGTGTGTGTGTATATATACATGTACATATCTATCTATCTATCTATATATATATATATATATATATATATATATATATATATATATATATATATATATGAGGTTCTTGTTGTCACTGCTGGCCACCAATTTCTCGGGGTTTGGTTGACGGAAAGTCACGGCCTGGTTTAACGTTTATTACTAGTAGTGTAGGGTGTCGGTAGCATAGAATGGAGGGTGACCCCTTGGAGGAGGCCTTGTCCGAACGGTAGCGTGACTCGAGGGAGAGTGTGTGTCCGGGTGAAGGTTATGGGCAAAGGTCAAGTGGGATGTGGGCGTGGCTTAAGTCAGTACGGCGGCGGTGGCGCACCATTGGTCACCCCTGGTAGTTGGAGGGCGTGACAATGAAGGCTTCTGACCACTCAGAGAGTGTGTGCGTATGTATGTATGTGTGCGTATATATATATATATATATATGTATATAAATAAATAAATATATATATATATGTATATATATATAAATATAAACACATATGAATATATAGATATATATATACATAAATACACACACAAACATATATATATATATATATATATATATATATATATATATACATATATATATATATATTGTTACATTCATAGGAACACCTGCCGCTGACCTGACCCTCAGCTGCAGAGAGAGGTCAGCTTGGAGGCCTGGAAGCACACGTGAAGGTCAGGTACTTAAGGCCGCGTTTTAACCCGGTCAAGACAGAGTTAGTCGCCAGTGTCTGTCAGGGTCACGTCAGTTCACCTCGCAGTACCTTTTGCCCTGGTTGGGCTGGGGGCCGCCCCGTGACCCTAGGTGACCTCGCACTTAACCCAAGACTTGTCGTCGTTGTGTTTATCCACCATGTGCTGAACTCTTAACAATAAAGAGATTAAGTCACTCAAGCTTTTATGACTCCCTGTCACCAATGTTTACAGGTTCAATCAATCTATAACCCTTTACATATATATATATATATATATATATATATTATATATATATATA